GTGCAGAGTCCCAGGGTGAGTGATCTGACAGGGGGTGTCAGAGGAGGGTGTGCACAGTCCTCACTCTCCTGTCAGACAGTGTGTGGAGTCTGAAGATCATTGTTCTCCTTGCGTGCTTACAGGGGACTTGTATCTTTAAAATAAATCCCAGAATGGGAAGGTATGCAATACACAATGGTCAGTAACTTTGAAATTAATACAACAGAAGAACAGAAATATCACAATATCCTTGGTGTCTGCCCAGTACTGAGTAGAATTTGAAGTCTGTGCATTTCCTTCCCTGTATGCCTCATTGATTGCCTTCTCATGTAGAGACACGCAACCATTCCCATAGGGGGTGTCTGAACACCGGGGTCCTGCCTGCCGGTATTGAGTCCCCCTCTCTCTCTTAGCATCGAGCTGGACGAGCTGCCCCTGGTGCAGACCGCTGCTAACCTCTTCAAAGACATGTGCTACCGGTACCGCGAGGAGCTGATGGCTGGCATCATTGTCGCCGGCTGGGACAAGAGGCGGGGAGGACAGGTAACCGGGGTGACCGCATCCTCCCCAACATCACACCCACTCGCTTCCTCCCCGCCCCTCCCTCTGAGCCTCTGTCACTCACTCTCTCTATCTCTCCGTCACCCTCTTCCTCTGCTTCTCCCCAATCTCTCTCCCCTGCACTTACATCTGTGTTCCTCACTTCCTCTCGCCTTCTCTGCCCTTTCCTCCCTCTTTTCCACTTGTTCAGTCTCTATCCCTCTCTTCCACTCATTCACATACTTTTTCTCTATCCCTCCCTCTGTTGCACTCTTTCAGTCTCTCTAGTCCCCTCCCTCACACAGTCTCTCTGTCTCCCTGTCTTTAGTCTGCTCCCTCGCCTGGACACCCTGCACACACACTGACCCCCCAGGACCAGGACTGGACAGCCCTATTTTAAGCATGTTTAGCAGTTTGCAATGGACGTGAAGTGTTTTGCTCATTGTTAGAGAGGTGTGGCTGACCTGTCACTCCATGACTCTGCGTTGCTGTAATTTAGTCCTGTAATACAGTCACTTTTCCTCTTCCAGACCACGATCATGGCGGTGGAGTTTGACGGGGGCGTGGTCCTCGGCGCGGACTCCCGGACGACTACGGGGTGAGCTGGCGGCCATATAGGAGGTCGGGTTGGGGGTTGGGGCGGTGACTAGACAGAAGGTGCTCAGATCAGCTTGTTAGCTAACTGGTCACAGATTCTCATCCGTCCTCTTCTTGAAGGATCAGTGGGGCTGCTGGCCAGATGTGTTCCAGACACCTGCCACTCTCTGGGCACTGGTCCGCTTGCAGTGACTTAAATCACACTTCCCCAGCAGACTGAGCTTCTGCCCCCCTCCCTACACTTCACACCTGGAAAATCTGGTCAGACCCATTCGGTTTTGATTGACCTCTTAACTCAGCTAGGGCATTCATTTAAGTCATGTAGAGCCCTGAGCTTAAGATCAATGAGAAAAGGGCACTAAGTCCCGCTCTGTATTCTACAGTATTCATAGATCTGATGAGGATGAGTGT